CCCCCCCCCCTTTCCTCCCATGTGGGGCCCGGCCTCTCCCTGCTCCTGGGGGTGGGACGACCCCTGGCACGCGAGTCCAGCCCCCTCTCTCGGCAGGGTCTTCTCCGATCGCCTGGTGGACTCGGCCGACAAGGACGCCTTCGTCGCCCTCCTGAGCGAGAAGCTGGGCTCCTTCTTCGACCTGACCTTCCACAACCTCTGCCCCAGCAAGCGCCCGCCCATCTTCGGTGAGCGCCGTGGGGCGCCGGGCCTGGCGGTCTGACTGGCACTGCCAAGCCCCCGCTCCGGGGCTAGTGGGGAGAGCCAGGACTCCTGGGTTCTCTCCCCGGCTCTGGGAGGGGAGGGCAGGGTTGTAGTGGTTAGAGCGGGACTCAGGCCTAGGAGCCCGGACTCCCGGGGTCCGTGCCGGCCGGTGACCCAGACAGGGAGCACTGACCCTTCCTCTTGCCTGCCGGCCAGGGGACTTCATGCGGGAGCCGCGGGTGTACGAGGACTTGGTGGACCTGTCGGCCCTGAAGCTGGAGATGGAGCGGGCGCTGGACGAGTACAACCAGACGCCCGGCGTGGTGCAGATGCAGCTCGTGCTCTTCAGAGATGCCATCGAACACAGTGAGTGACGCTGGCCGGGGCGGGCGGCGCCTCCCGCACCGTGCCCCTGCCAGGCACCACCATGGCTCCCCCCTCAGCCCCGCCGGTGCCCCTCACTCCCCATCGCCAGCCCAGCCCTGGCACTTGGCTGCAGATCAGAACCTGCTCTGCCCCTGAGTGAACCGACACGGAGCCCCACGTGACCAAGCAGGCCGCCCACGTCTCCCCAAACGGGGGAAACTGAGGCACACCGCTCAGGGCAGCAGTGGAACGGCAGATGGGACCCAGGAGTCCTGGCCCCTTGCTCTTCGAGATCTCTCGGAGTTAAATCTTTACACCACCTCGGGTGCCATGGAGGGAGCTGACCGCAGCCTCCACTTTTGGTGGAGGAAAAATCCCAGCATGCAATGCAAGCCTTTTGGTCTACCGGTCAGCAGCCCACTCCGGCCCCGGGCTGCCCCCTTCTGACCAGCGGCTCCCCCGGCAGTTACCCGGATCGTGCGGGTGATCGGCCAGCCGCGAGGGAACATGCTGCTGGTGGGCATCGGGGGCAGCGGGCGCCAGAGCCTGGCACGCCTGGCCTCCTCCATCTGCGAGGACCAGACCTTCCAGATCGAGGTGACCAAGCACTACCGCAAGCAGGAGTTCAGAGATGGTGAGTGCCCCCCGGCCTGCTCCCCGCCCTCGGCCTCCCGCGTGGCCAGCCCCCCAGGAGCTGACGGCCCCCCGGCCTCTCCCCACAGACATCAAGAAGCTGTACCGGCAGGCAGGGGTGGACCTGAAACCCACCACCTTCCTCTTCGTGGACACGCAGATCATGGACGACTCCTTCCTGGAGGACATCAACAACATCCTGAGCTCCGGGGAGGTGCCCAACCTCTACAAGGCCGACGAGTTTGAGGAGGTGCGAGCGCACGCCAGCGCCGGGCTGGGAGGCACCACGGGCGAGGGGCTGGCAGGGCCCAGGGGTCTCCCTGCGACAGCTGTGCTGAAGGAGTGCCCTGCCGGTGCCCCTCACTCCCGACCCGCAGCCCCCTGCCCCCCCAGCGCTGCCGGTGCCCCTCACTCCCGACCCGCAGCCCCTGCCAGCCCGGCCCTGCCCCCCCAGCTCTGCCGGTGCCCCTCATTTCCGACCCGCAGCCCCCTGCCCCCCCAGCTCTGCCGGTGCCCCTCACTCCCGACCCACAGCCCCTGCCACCCCGCCCCCGCCCCCCCCCCCCCCAGCTCTGCTGGTGCCCTTCACTCCCGACCCGCAGCCCCTGCTAGCCCGGCCCTGGTCTCCTACACACAGCTGTGGCCTGATGTGCAGTTTCGCCCGTTTCCCCGGAGGAACTGTCCCAATCCCCCCCCCGGCAGCCGGCACGTGGGTGCTGCCCACGGTGGCTGGAAGGGGTGGGTGGGCCCGGGCCCCTTGTAAGGGGCAGTGCCCAGGACTCCGTGCCCAGCTGCAGACACTTCCCTTGTGTCCCAGATCCAGTCCGTGATCCTGGACGCGGCCCGAGCCGATGGCATCCCTGAGACGGCCGACAGCCTCTTTGGCTACCTGATTGAGAGGGTGCGGAACAACCTGCACGTGGTGGTCTGCCTCAGCCCCATCGGGGACCCCTTCAGGTGAGGGGCCCGGAGCTGCGCCACTGCCTGGAGAAATAGCGCCCCTTGGTGGGCAGCTCGGGAGTCACTGGCAGCCAGGACCTAAAGGGGGGCGAGCACAGCTAGGAGCTCACAGCTGTGTGAGGGCGGGAGCTAGGGGGATGGTGGGGTGGGAGCGTGGTAGAGATGGGGGCAGGGTGGGAGCAGGGAAGGGATGGGAGCAGGGAAGGGACGGGGGCGGGAGCGGGGCAGGGGTGGGAGCGGGTCAGGGATGAGGACGGGGCGGGAGCTGGGCAGGGATGGGGCGGGAGCAGGGATGGGATGGGATGGGATGAGGATGGGGACGAGGCGGGAGTGGGGCAGAGATGGGGGCGGGAGCAGGGCAGGGGTGGGAGCGGGGCAGGGATGGGGACGGGGCGGGAGTGGGAGCGGGGCAGGGATGGGGACGGGGCGGGAGCAGGACAGGGGCGGGAGTGGGGCAAGGATGGGATGGGGCGGGGCAGAATTGGGGGGTGGGGTGGGAGCAGGGAAGAGATGGGGCATAGCAGGAGAGAGCAGGGATGGGAGAGGGGTGGGAGCAGGGCAGAGATGAGGGGCAGGATGGGAGGGGGAAGGGCAGAAATGGGGGCGGGAGCGGGGCAGGGATGGGGACGGGGCGGGAGCAGGGCAGGGGTGGGAGCGGGGCAGGGATGGGATGGGGCGGGGCAGAATTGGGGGGTGTGGTGGGAGCAGGCCAGGCAGGGCTGGCTTTAGGCCGATTCAGCCGATTCGGCTGAATTGGGCCCCGCGCCAAGAGGGCCCCGCGCTGCAGCTCTCCACCCCGCCCCCAGCTCACTTCCCCTCCTCCCCTCCCCTGAACACTCCGCCCCCTCCCCTGCTTCCCGCGAATCTCTGATTCGCTGGAAGTCTGAACAGGAGCAGGGGCGGGCCAGCAGCACAAGGTAAGCTGGGGCCTGGAGGTGGTGGGGGCGCGAGACGGGCTCCGGGGAGGCGCCGGCCGTTCCCGCCGAGCACGCAGGCCCGGCTCGGGTCCGGTCCGGCCCCCACGGCGCGGGTCGGGTCAGGTCGGGTCTGGCCCGGTCGGCGCGGCTCCGGCCCGGTCCCCGCGGCGCGGCTCCGGCTCCGGCTTGGCCCCCGCGGCGCGGCTCCGGCCCGGACCGGTCTCCGCGGCGCGGTTCCGGGTCGGACCCAAGCCCGGCAACCCCAGCCAGAGCGCGGCTCAATTCCTGGGGGCGGGGCTTGCAGCAAGCCCCGCCCCCAGGAATCGGGCCCCGCTCTTGCTAAAGCCGGCCCTGAGGCCAGGGATGGGGGGCAGGATGGGAGGGGCAGAGGTGTGGGAATGCTCAGCTTGGCGCACCCCTGTCCCCCCAGGAACTGGATCCGTCAGTACCCGGCGCTGGTGAACTGCACCACCATCGACTGGTTCTCGGAGTGGCCGCACCAGGCGCTGCTGGAGGTGGCAGAGAAGTACCTCGAGGGTGTGGACCTGGGGGGCCTGCCGGAGGTGAGAGCCGCACGTGGGGTGTGCTGGGGGGCAGGCCAGGGCCCCCGGGAGATCGGCCAGGGGAGCCGGTGCTCAGAGTCAGTCGGCCTGGCGTGGAGTCGGTGTCCCGGCCGCAGCCCAGCCCCGGGGTTCCCATTCGGCCTCCCAGACTCCCCTGGGCTTGGAACCGGACCCAGGATTCTCCGGGTGGGCGCCCCTCCCCAGAGCCAGCCGCCGCACCCCTCCCCGGAGCCTCCATCTCCAGCCGCACCCCTCCCCAGAGCCACCATCACCGGCCACACCCCTCCCCAGAGCCAGCCGCCGCACCCCTCCCCGGAGCCTCCATCACTGGCCACACCCCTCCCCAAAGCCAGCCGCCGTACCCCTCCCCGGAGCCACCATCACCAGCCACACCCCTCTCCAGAGCCAGCCGCCACACCCCTCACTGGAGCCGCCATCAACGGCCACACCCCTCCCCAGACCCAGCCGCCGTGCCCCTCCCCAGAGCTGCCATCACCGGCCACACCCCTCCCCAGAGCCGCCATCACCGGCCACACCCCTCCCCAGAGCCAGCCAGCCGCCCTCGACGGAGCCGCCATCACCGGCCACACCCCTCCCCGGAGCCAGCCGCCATGCCCCTCCCCGGAGCCACCATCACCGGCCACACCCCTCCCCAGAGCCAGCCGCCGTGCCCCTCCCCGGAGCCGCCATCACTGGCCAAACCCCTTGTGACAATGCGGTTCTGGCGGAACCCAACTGAGAGTGCCAACTCAGGACAAATTGCTCAAATAGGGCAGTTACAGCCCAAGGCTGGGGTTTTTCCACCTCTAAGGCAAACCAAACCAGCCAGACTAAGAGGACTTCGGTCTCACCCCACTGGCTAACCGCAAGTCTCACAAGCAATCTCCTTAGACACTCCAGTTTCCCAGTATCACCACCAGTGCCACTCGTTATGGGGACAAATGGTTATGAAAACCAATACCCCAGTAAAAGAAAAAGGTTCTCCTGATCCCAAAGGACCAAGCCCCAGACCCAGGTCAATATACAAATCAGATCTTACCCACAAATCACGCTGTTGCCGATCCTTTAGAATCTAAAATCTAAAGGTTTATTCATAAAAGGAAAAAGATAGAGATGAGAGCTAGAATTGGTTAAATGGAATCAATTACATATAGTAATGGCAAAGTTCTTGGTTCAGGCTTGCAGCAGCGATAGAATAAACTGCAGGTTCAAATCAAGTCTCTGGAATACATCCCCCGCTGGGATGGGTCCTCAGTCCTTTGTTCAAAGCTTCAGCTTGTAGCAAAGTTCCTCCAGAGGTATGAAGCAGGATTGAAGACAAGATGGAGATGAGGCATCAGCCTTATATAAAAAATAACAGGAGTACTTGTGGCACCTTAGAGACTAACAAATTTAT